GCATGCTGTGCATTTAAACTCTGCTGTGCTACTTCCTGAGATGGCCATGGAGAAGTTGTGTAATACTCGTGGAGTGGTGCAGGGTCAGAATGGGGAATAAAGCTATCAGAGGGACGTTTCCAAATCAGAAGAAAGGGAGAGCTGGGTGAGGAAAGGAGTAGGGGGTGGAGTGGTTGATTGGAGCGTTTTGCCTTGTGGTGATACTTTTTTTTTTTTCTTTTCTTTTAATGGCACTGAGGATTAAACCCAGGGCCTTCAAATTGAGCTAACTCTCTAGCCCTTTTAAAGTTTGTATTTTTGACACAGCATCTTGCTCGGTTGCTAAGTTGCCCAGGCTGGGCTTGAACTTGTGATACTCCTGCCTCAGCCTCCCAGAGTGCTGGGATTCCAGGCATACGCTCCCTGGTGTTTGGAGATTTCATGAAACTAGCCAGTCTGGTCTGCTCCATTTGCCAGGACATGAAGCAGAGGAGGGCTGTTGCAGGGATATTACCAGCCCGGGGCCCACATACTGCACTTAGAGCTTGGTGAAGAGGACTGACTGTGTGTACGGGACCCGTCCTTGTCCACAAACTCCATGAATTCACGGCTTGCACTCACCTCCCAGAACAGAGCAGGGACCTGGCTGTACGTGGCAGGCACACGTGAAACACTTGACCAGGGGCTGAAGAAAGCACATAGACTTTGCTGTAACAGAGGGTGTGAGGTGGCCGAGGGGTTAGACAGGAAGTGGATCCTGCTGGGGGGTCAGGAAGAGCACCCTCCAGGCCCTGCTGGAGACCCTGAGCGCTTGGCCATGACTGTCAGCAGGAGCCCCACACCCTCACCCGGCTGAGGTGGCTGCTCTGCTGCCGGCCAGTTGTCAGGTCAGGACAGATGCATTGGTCTCCTTCTCTGAACATCAATTTTGTCATCTGCAAATAGGAATAAACCCACATTCTCCTTTAAGGAGAACGTGAGACTAAGAAAATACCCGTATAATTAACCTAACATGGGATCAACAGGAATTGAAAATTACCGACTGCATATCCACATATTAACTCTGTCCTTCCCTTGGCAGTTACCTTAATATTTTTTTGATTTTCTTTTTATTATTACGGTACAGGGGATTGAACCCAGGCCTTCACACTGAGCTGCAGTCCCCTCCCCTTTTTGCTTGGACAAAGGATCTCACTAAACTTCTCAGCTGCCCAGGCTGGGCTGGAGTTTGCAATCCTCCTACCTCAGTCTCCCACAGTGCTGGGATTGCAGGCGCACACAGCCATGCCCAGCCAGCACTTTGCTATTGAGTGAGCCCCTCACCTAAAGGAATGACAACGGGTTGGTTCTCTTAGATTTACTGGTGAGCATTGGTTCCAGCAGGTACAATGTGCCCCGTGTGGGGCCCACAGAGCATGGGCCACCTGGGTCCTGCCAGAGACAGCAGTCTCTTGCTGTGTAGCTCCTGAAAAAGGTGTAGGACATGCAGGATTCACTGTGCGGGGCACTCGGAAGCCTGGGAGTGGTGGCCTTGAGGGCAAGGCTGGAAAAATGAGTCCAGGCAAGGGCAGAGCCATGGGGTCAAGATATGGCAGTTGTCATGGATGCAGAGAACGGCCTCCAGACACACTCTGACCAGCATGAGAGCAAGCAGATGGGCCGGACGCCCCTTCCAGCAACCAATGCCCTAAGCGAGGAGAGTAACTTGATGGTAACGACTAAGTGCGATCAGTTCTGCTCGCGGGGTAAACCTGCATTTTTTAAAGGAAGTGCTTTAATCCAGTCGAGACTTTGATGGAATAGTGACATCCCCAAAGCTGGACAAGGGAGGGTGATCTTCAGCAAGGACTTTTCCTCCCCTACAGTGCAGCCTCATTACGGGTGAGCATGGAGAAGCACTTGCTCACTCCTCCTGCCAAATCTGCCAGTCGCTTGCATCATTAGCCCCATCTGTGGGTAAATAGCCTGGGGTCCTTTCTAAGACCCGCCCCCTCCCACCCCTGACTCACACTGTCGTCTACCCTACAAGGACATCATTTCTCTCTCCATTCTCTTTGGGTTCATTCTCATCAACAAACAGTGTCAAACCCTAAAGGCCCAAACCCGTCTTAGCCCCACAACTTCATGAAGTGCCACAGCCCTGTCTTCTCTCCCACTCCAGCAAGAGTCCACATTTCCCATTTGCTCTTGAGCCCACTCCGGTCAGACTTCATCCTCATTGCACCACCGAATTTGCTCATGGCACGGGCAGCTCCATGTGGCCACATCCAGGGGTCATCGCTCTGTCCTCAGCTCCCTGGTTTAATGGAACAGCAGCAATGGAATAGTTGACCCTCTTCCCTTTCAGCAGACATGTTTCTTGCTTGGCCTCTGCAAAACACTTTCTTTTGGTTCTCTTCCTGTCTCCAGACCGGTTCTTCCTTTGCCTTGCTGGCTCCTCCTCATTTTCTCTACTCGTAAGCACTGGCGTCCCAGGTTTCAGTCCCAGACTTCTCCACTGTGATCTCAATGCCCTCTGCTCGTAAATGATGGAGAGCTGATGGCTCCTTAAGATGTGTCTCCACTCCGTCCTTCTCCACAAAGCTCCAGACCTACACAATGGCTTCTTCGGGTCCTCCATGTAGATGTCTGGTGACTTTACACATCCGCAAACTCATTTTCCCACTGATACTTGCTCCTCCCTCAGCTTTAGTCATTTCAGTTTCACTCTTCCCAACCTTTCAGGACAAGTCCTTGTATTTATCCTTGATGCCTCTTTCCCTCTATCATGTCCAGTTTCATCTGTGGTCAAATCCCATCGGCTCTTCTTTTTAAATACTTCTCATTTTGGATCATTCCTCAGTACTTCTACCGTAGCCTACCACCCAAGTCAGTGGCTTGACTCTGTCTTTGTTTTACTTGTAAATCTTCCCCCAGGAAAGGGGGGCTGTGCAGGGACAGTTGAGCTCTGCTCCCCTTGGTGTAAGTTGGGTGGTTGGGTGGCTGAGTGGCCGGGCTTGCTGCTCACTTCCTCCTCTGGGAGTTGAAGTTGGTCCCCAAGAGCCAAAGTGGGAGTCCCAGACACCAGCATTTGGCCTCGTGATCTGTGGCTGCTGTGAGCATCCTCGGAAGACCAGGCCAAACACACAGCCTTTCACCTGTTAGCCTCAGAGAGCCTGGTGTCACCTGCATCACAGCCACCCTGATCAAAAGGACCCCACTTCCTGGAGTCCCCATCCCAGTGTAAGGAGAGTAGATATGACAGGAGAGAGTGGGGCGGCCACACTCTTCTCTTACCCTTTTCTGAGAAACTTACATTAAAGGAACTCCCACGCAATGCCCAGTATTTCATACTTTCATTTAATTTCACTCACAAATCTCTACCACATGTAAGAATTCCATGAATCTTTATTTTTTATTCTTATTTTAATAGTGAATGTTTGCAGTATGTAATGATCACATTCATCATGAGGAGTTGGTCCATGAACATAACACATCTTAATTCTTTTTACTCTCCCTTCTCTTCTCCTCCCTCCATCTCTTGGTCCCCTTCCCATTTGCAAAAGATCTATTTCCTTGTTTCCTATTATCTTATCTTTTATTTTGCTCTATAATTTATTTATATTTTGGGCTTCTCATATAAGAGAAATCATGTAATATTTAAGCTTAGTGTCTGATTTATTTCATTTTATGGTCTCAAGGTACATCCATTTTTTAATAAATACTCAAATTTATCCCTCATAGCAGAGTAGCACTCCATTACGTACAAATACCAAGTCTTAGTTACTTTTCTCACTGCTGAGACAAAATACCCAACACCCAAAGTTAAAGGAGAAAAGGTTTATTTTGGCTTACAGTTTGTAGAGATTTCAATCCATAAAACCTTCCAAGGCAGGGAGGCATGGCAGACGGACAGCTCAGAGCAGAAACAGTTCATGGTGGGCAGGAGGTAGCACAACAACAAATTAGAGAGGAAACAAGTCCAAGCAACCTCCAGAGTTTTTGTTGTTGTTTGTTTTTTGGAACCAGGGATCAAATTCGGGACCTTAGACTTTTGAGGTAGGTGGCAGAACCAATGAGCTAAATCCCTGGCCCCAAATCCAAACAACCATGGCAGCTTCTTTCTGCCCCTTTTATACTCTATCTAGACTACTTGGGCTTAGGGCAGTGCCAAACCAATCAGTGGATGGACTTAGTAATCACACTCCCTTCCTCTCAGCATTACACACTGTAGATCCAGCCACCTCTGAAAAAGCCCCACCTGTGACCACAGGAGGCTTTGAGGGAACATCTGTACACCAACCATAATATACCATATTTTCTCTATTCATTCATCTGTTGCTGGCTGTATAGGCTGCTTTCAAAATTCAGCTGTTATGAGAGTGCCACCATAAATACCAGTATGCTGACATCACTGTAATATGATGTCTTTAACTCTTTTGGGAAGATACTTAGGAGGAGAATAGTTAGGTTGAATGCAATTTCTAGTTTTAGTTTTTTGAGGAACCCCCATACCGATTTCCATAGTGGTTGTAGTAGTTTACATTTATACCAACAATGTAGAAGGGTTCTATGCAAAATTAAGTCGTGAAATAAATCATTATCACTACAAAAAAAGATGGCGGATCTTATTTATTGAGAGCTTTCTGTGTGCAGAAAGAAAAATATTGACATGTAGTATCATTTTCCATCTCCCCAACATTTCTGGCAAGGGAGTGCTAGGACTCCCATTTTACTGATGAGAAAACTGAGGCTTAGAAAATGTACAAATTTACACAGCTGGCGAGCCATGAGGCTGAGGTTCCAAGCCAGGCCTGAGCCCCAAAATGCACATAACCTCTTTGTAATGCTGTGAGGTGGTGAAAGGGGACCCCAGGTACATGTGTTGTCCTCACTCTGGCCAGTCTTGGAGGGGAAGAGCCGGCAGGCCATGGTTGCGGGCCCGGTCACAGCCGCCACATCTGTGGCTCGCAGAGGCTGGTGGGTAATGAGTGGCTGTGCTTGTCCTTTGCTTTTCCCTCACACTTCCTGTTTCCTTCCAGTCTGGGTGACCATCGATGCCATCTCCGTGGAAACCCCTCAGGACACTCTCCGGGCAGCCCGGGGACAAAGTGTCACCCTTCCGTGTAGCTACAGCACTTCCGCCCTCGACCGGGAAGGATTTATCCAGTGGGACAAGCTTCTCCGGAGTCACACGGTGAGGCGCCTTGAAATCCCGAGGCTTTGCCGATGGGAGGAGGACCGAGAGAGGGAGGAGGGACACAGGGAGGACTGGGATGTGCTATGCACACCCAGCTCCCCGTGATGAGCGTGATCATTATGTACAGCAAGCGAGTGCTGATAAAAATAAAAATTAAAAAAGAAGTTCTTCTAGAAAAAAAAGTAAAGCTGCACACCATGGGGATGATTATCACCTGAATAGGATGTCCTCGGAAGCAAGCACTACCAAGTCTTTCAAGAAATGTTAGCTGGAATGAGCCGGAGAGGTGAAGGTTGGGACCAGGGAGAGCTCCTTACAGCATCTTTAAGTTGACAAAGTCACCTGCGCTAAAATCTCTCCCTGTTGGTCGATTTCAAACGACCAGGCAACTCAGCCACTCTCTGACTAGCATACTCTGAGTCTAAATTTTATTGTATGGATTTCTTTTCCTGTTTGACTTCTTTTGGAGCATTTGGGAAAGTTTTGTTCAATTTTCTTTTTCTGTTTTTAAATAGATCATAGCACTCCACGGTTTCAAAGTCAAAACATCATAAAAAGTATACTTTGAGAAGTCTCATTTCTTCCCTGGCCTTTCTTCCCCGTCCGTCTTGTTCCCGCCCTTTAACCTCTCTATCCTGCACTGTCCTTGGACAGACAAGGCATGTACAAGCACAGAAATATTTGTTATATATACGAACATACACAGCTGTTTATATCAACCCCCCCCCTTTGTGCTAGGAACTGAACCCAGGGCCTCCACACTGAGCTCCGTCCTCAGACCTTCTTATTTTGTTTATTTGGGGAGGGGTAGGCTCTTGCTAAATCACTAAGTTGCCCCAGCTAGGCTCAAACTTGAGATCCTCCTGCCTCATCCCTCCGGAGTGCTGGGATTAGAGGCTTGTGCCACCAGCCCTCTGCCCCTTGCCATAGTGCAGGGGTACTGTGGAGATAAACACTGAGATAGTTTATTGCCTGATGGATTTCCAAAGGATCGGAGGCAACTCCCTCCCTCGAGACCAAGCATGAGTACAGAGCAAGGAGTCCCCTGAGTTACCTTAGCAAGGGTCCCTGATCCTAGCAAGGGGTGTGATGAGGGCGACCCGGGAGGTGGAGGTAGGGTTAGCAGAGCGGAGAAGCACGGGCCGCGGAGACCCAGAGACCCCTCCACATCTCCTTCCTTGTCGCCGCCGCCGTCATCGTGCCCGGTTGTGGGGGGGGGTCGCCCCCCCCTTTCCCTGGAGCCAGGGCGGTCCGTGCTCGGCACAGGTTCCCGGCACTTTGGCCTGGGCCCAGGGGGCGCCTCAGTAATTTGCAAGAAGGCATTTCATGAAGCACCCTCCTCCTGGGGTTTCCTGTTCTCTCTCTCTCTGAGGGCTCGCATTTCCTAGGGTCGCACTGTTTCCTCTTCATTCACCCGCGCGGCTTGACGGAGCTCCCTGAGGACGGCCCCCAAACCTGATGACTCCGCTGCACAACAGCACTTTTCCCAGGGTCCCGCTGAAGCTTCACATGGTCTCACGCAGGCCCCCACATGGTTCCTTCTTACATCTCTCCTTCCTGTGCATTTCCTCTTTTGGATCCACCCAAGCATCCAAGAGGTCTGCAGCCCCCGACTCTGTGCACGAAACTCACCTCCAAAGCTCCGGGGTCTACCCTTTGTTACCGGGGATGGAACTCGGGGCCTTGCACTTGCAAGGCAGGGGGCAGAACCACTGAGCTAAATCCCCAGCCCCTATCCTGATTTCTTAATGGCTTTTTCTCCTTCCTTTCATATTGCACTCTGTCTGAAGGACTAACCCCCCCCATACTGGGACTCGAACTCAGGACCTTGCATTTACAAGGCAGGTGGTGGTACCACTGAGCTAAATCCCAGCCCTAAGAGCTTACTTCTTAAAACACATGACTCCTTAGTGCCTTCAAGGTAAAATACAAGCAGTCTGGTCCGGCATACACAGCACCTGAGATTCCACCCCACAGGATCTTGGGAAAGGCCAGTTCCAATCTCGGCTTTGCCTCTTCCTCCCGGTGCCCCGGCTTCTCCATGTGTAAAATGCATAGGACCAAGTCCACAGGGAGCATAGAGGGTCAGAGGAGGTCAGACTCACCCACTGCTCGGGACAGCACCGCGCAGGCCTCCACTGTTCCCCAGCCCGAGCGCACCTGCACCTCAGTCCAGGTCTCATGGCACCTCTGGCTTCATACGTTGCTTCCGTTTCTGTGTCCTATCTGTGGTTCTCCCTTTGCCGGAAATGCCCAAAGCCCAACATGCTTAGCCTGCTCCACCATGCACACCCCCCCCCGTGCAGCCGAGCTAATTTGAAACTGTTTTTCAGGGTTCTAGATAACTATCAGCTCTTCTAGGAAGGCTCCCTGACCTCCCAGTCTGGAAGCCGTACCTGTTTTCTGGAATCGCACAGCGAATCACAAGCTGCAGCTCCTGGCTGCCTATCCACCTCCCCGCCGCCCAGGCACAAGCTCATGAATGAGCCGCCCTTGATGTGAGGCTCTCTAGATGCTCGGTAAACTGTCAGCACTTCCAGAAGCTTGGCACCTCAGGAAAGCCTTAATCTAACGTGTTGGGTGCATCATCTACTTACTCCTCCCTGCAGTCCTAGGAGACAGGTGGTGTCGCCGTCTCTGTTCCGTAGGAGAGGGCATGGACACCCAGAGCTGGCAAGGCTTTTGTTCAAGCCACTCCACTAGCAGTAGGTGACACAACTGGGATCTGAGTTGAGGCCGTCTGGCGTGCAAGCCTACGGGACTTAGCCCCTTTCTACACTGTTGGATCAGTGATGAGTGTGCCAGCGAATAAACCAACTCTAAAATCCAGAGTCGAGAAAATAAAGAGCCGCACGTAGCTGCCTAGCTGGACGCTGTGCTCAGGAAGGGCTGGCGGACTGGAGGAGAACAGACCAGGCTGGAACGGTCGGGATGTAAGGGCCACAGAGGGGACGCTGTGGGGAGACAGGGGGCTCCCACGGTCTCTGTGTGAACCCCCACCTGCCCTCAGCCCCAGTGTTCCAATCTGTTCACTAGCAAGTTTAAAACATAGAGGGCTAAATCGGCAGCGAAAGGAGCCCATGTGGGACAGGCCCATGCCAGGGCCTCAGGCCGAAGACCAGCAGTGTTTTTTCTTCTTTCCAGGAAAAAGTGGTCACCTGGACATTCAGGACCCAGGCCTACATCTACGGCAGCCTCTACGAGAACCGCGTGAAGATGGCCGGCAACGCCGAGCAGTCGGACGCCTCAGTCACCATCGAGCAGCTGTCCATGGACGACAACGGCACCTACGAGTGCTCCGTCTCGCTGCTGTCGGACCTGCAGGGCACCTCCAAGTCCCGTGTCCGCCTCCTGGTCCTCGGTGAGGGGCGCCCCTCTCCTGACCTGTGGCCTAGGACCGCCCACCCGCATCCCAGGGATCCCTGAGTGTAAGGGGAACAAGTTGGCTTGAAGGCTGAAAGATACAAGCTTAGTCTGAGATTGTGGAGCCCTTTCTTTCTTTTTTCTTTTTCAGTACTGGGTATTGAACCCAGGACTTTCTCACTGAGCTTCACCTCCAACTCCTTTTTTAAATTTTAAGACAGAGTTTGTCCAGTTCCTAAATTGCCCAGGCTGGATTTGCACTTGTGATCCTCCTGCCTCAGCCTCCTGACTGTTGGAATCACAGGCCACCATGCCCAGTTAGATGATGAGAGAGAGAGAGAGAGAGAGAGAGAGAGAGAGAGAGAGAGAGAGAGAGAGAGAGAGAGAGAGTTGTTGCG